AGCAGATGCCTACTTCACTCAATATAATCAATCTACCCTACCCTGTAGCTGCTTGAGTCTCGGTGTTCAGTGGGTCTCAGGATACATGTGACAAGACACTTTTAAACTGGGATTTTCAACACACTTGTAATAGAAACCCTTTTGAGGTTCCCAGGGAACAACATTCTCTTTTTAGTTTGTCAGGAGACACCAGCACTGCTGAACTTCAGATGCATCATTAATGAAAAGGATATGTGTTCACATACCTTGTAGCTGGATTCCCAAATAATTGCCACCATTTTAATAGGTGTTAGATCCAGCAGCTCTTACTGAATTCACTAGATGGTGTGAAGCACTATCCAGTTTGGCAAATTGGAGGTTTATTTAGGAGCCCAGCTTCTGGCACCAGCTTTTGAGAAACTTGGCCACGTTTCCCACATAATGTTAACACAGTCACACTGTATGTCTCAGCATTGTGTGAGATCCACACATCCAGCACTCTGCTAAGCTGCAAATTTAATAAGACAAGTGAAAAAAGGAAAAAAGCTTACAAATGTGTGGTGGTGTTAATTTAGTGTGTATTTGCTTTTATTTAAGAAAGCTTAGTCTTAACTTACCACTGTGTGACCACATTCATACAAATAACAGGTGAGGGAAGAGAAGGCATCTTTGTAGATCACGTGGGATCAGGACGTAGTCCAGAGTGATTACTGTCAAACTGAGCTCACACAGAAGGCATTTCAATAAATTTAAGTAACTATTGATTTTTCAAAAGGTTTATGCCCATAGAGTTTATACAGCAGTTGAATAGAGATGCCTTTAGCACTTCCAACTCTGTTTCTGTTGGGTTTGGGGGTGTTTGTTTGTTTTGGGTGGTTGTCTAGTTTTGTTTTATCCTTCTGACACATACATTTTATTCATTTTTTGTATTTATATATTATATTTTATATATTCATTATATTTCTGTCACATATATTTTTATCAATTTATTATTTATGGCAGCAAAGGCCTAAGCAACCTCTGAAGAATAGATTATATGGTGAACAAGCTTCTTGCAAAATTCCTATCTAGTGGTAGGATCTTGACTGATATCATTTGATTAATTTTTTTTTATATCAGCTATCTAGAAGAAGAGCATCAAATCTGAGCTGCTTGTTTAGAATTCTCTATCAGAAAGAGAAAGATAGGCTTCTGTGAGAAGAGAAGCTGCTCTTCTGTGCAGTTCACATACAGCCAAGATTAAAATCTAGATCACGTGAGATGAATCCCATCCCTACAGCAAAAGCTGAAGGTGCTGAGAGAGCACAGTGATAGTGTTATGAGAACTTTTATGAAGCCAGATTCTCTTGTAGTCCACATAAAACAACTCTGCCAATCTATTCCTGTGACATTTGATATAAAAGCTAATATCTTATTGTCCCCAGTGGGAGATGTCACGTATCTGAGACAGCATCTGGTGCTGATGATGTGAATAAATGAACTATGAACTGGGCAGAGAACCCGGTGCTGCTGTCATGAGACCTGCAACAGGATGTGAACTCACATTTTCAGACATGAAAGGTTGTTTCACTCACCCACTCGACCATCCTACATCCTACTGATTGCTAGGAAAGGAAGCACAAGTCTACAGGAATTGTTCTGCAATGATGGGTGGACACAGCTTTAAAAAACTGCCTGACAACTTTGCCAAAGGGTGGCCAAAATGACTTTCTGATTCCCCCTTCCATCCATCATGCCGCAGTGAGTGATGCCTCTGGAAATAACTCCCTTGGCCAAGGATAACAGTCACACCTGCCCAGCTGTTCTTGGTGGTCATGCTGTCTTAGGATAGGGTCCAAAGCCCACTGAAATCATTGGAAAAGACCCTGTTGACTGAAGCAGATCTCTGGATCAAACCCTTAGTCCTTATTTTTACTAAATTAACTATGCAAGCTGGCAAAGATTTTCCTGTATCGTGCATGGCAGGGCTTGGGCCTTTGGGATTACTGTAGCAGCTCTGTAGTTCCATATTGTCAGAAATTTTATCCCAGTGGTTTTCAGTAAGTGATGTCACTGCTCTCATCTTCCTCTGATGATGGATTTTTGGCAAAAATCTAGGAGATCTTTAAGACTGAAGGGGCTACTCCCATTTTTATTTTTCACATAGAAATGGGCTTCTGGAATTGAGTTGTTAATTGGTGAGCAGTCAGCACATTTCCAGCAGATGCAGGTGATCACTCTGAGTAATGAGTGAGAGCATAACCACAGAAAAGGAACATACGGGGAAAATCAACCTGTAGTCCACTGTGAGGGGGAAGAGAGTTACTGCATGGTTGGGAAGCTGAAGAGGTGAATTTGTTTCTCATCCTTTACAGAATAAATTAATGCAAAACTCTGATTCAAAGACAATTAAAGTTATCACGTTTCTCTCTATTTTTCCCAAAAAACTTTTGTTCAACACAAAGGTAAACATAATTTTCTAATCCCAAAGCCTACTTTGGGATTAAAGGTAAACATTTTTTAATCCCAAAGCCTACTTTTTGTCCCAAAGTCCTATTTGTTTGTGAAATTATATTACTGATCTTGTTCTCTTCAAAAGCCAAGCTGAATACAGCCCACTGCAAGAATGTAGCCTTACAAAGACTGTGTAAAAACACAGCAGAAAGCAGAATGTGGGAGAGGATACCCAGCAAGCCAGAGGGTGAAGTTCTTACAGGGCTGCTGGCACAAACCCCCTAGGAGTAGCTCCCTGCAATATCTGTTTCCAGTGGAACTGGTTTTTTCAACAGGACTTTCCTTTTCTTCTTTCTTGCTTTTATTCAACTGTATCTTCAAGGAATGTCTTTTGGGTGGTTATCACATGACAGTGCAACCCTTTTTTTTTCTTTTTCTTGTCTATTCTTTCAGAGCCATAAATGGAATTGTCCAATGAAACAAAAATGATTGTGTGATGGAATTTATCTTCATTAAAATTGGCACAGGTTTACTGTCCACGGGGAAATTGCCAAAAGCTATTAGGTGATCCAGGGGCTTAAAATGTTTTTCAATCAATTATTTCAGATCCATTATGAAGATGGGGATGCAGAGACTTAACTCCCACAGTCTGAAATGGCACTAAGTGAATGGACACTTGCACCAAGTCTGTTAGCTGTCTAGATAGCCATAACAATCAGTTCAAGCAAGGAATGGAAATAGGCTGCAGACTCTCAAATCACTGGGGTTGCAGCTCTGTTAACTAAAAGCAGAGGTCAGGTTCAAGTGCAGACCCCTGGTTAGTCATTTGTTTAATGTTAAGATGGGCTTTTCTGCAGTTTAGGCATTCTCCAAGTGTCACCTTCGCTGTGGCAGTGCTGTAGCAGCATTTGGGGTCTAAAATAGACCAGGAGTTGACCCCAACAGAAATTTCAGATGTGGCCATAGATGTGGTTGTATAACATCAGCTGATCTGTGCTTTGCTGGCCTGTTTTGTTTCTGAATATGCAGATAGTCTCAGATACTTCTGTGAAGCTTTTCCCTCAGTCAGAAATTAGTGTTTAGTTGCTACTCTACCTTACATGGTGGAAGAAATCCTAACCACAAGCCCTTAACTGGCACCATAGATTCAATACATGTCAAACTGGGTAACTGGGAATGTGAACTAAAGTCTTCTCTGTCAAAAATTGCTATGAAGGAGAACTGTGGAGCAACCTCACCACGAATCTTAACTTACTCTTGACAGAATACAGAGGTATTAGCACATCACATTTCTTTCTTCACAGGCTGTGTTAGAGCTCCACCTGGCAGTAAATACAGGGATTGCATCATTAAAAACAGTATTAAAGAAGCAATGAATAGTTCATATGTGAAAAGTTGTCACCAACTGTAATAATGTGTCCAGTTCATCTTACCCAGAATTTTAATTCCCTAGTAACACATCTAGATGCATCCAGATTCAAAACAGAAGTTTTCTCAGGCTTGGATTTGAGACTGATTGTAAAAGAAGGGACAGAAAAGAGATGCAAACAGTTGTGGAAAGAAAGCAAAGATAGGTGATGAGAGATTGTGGGTCACCAAAATAAGCCACCTTGCACATATGTACTTGGGCTTACCCCAAAAGGCTCAGAAGGGAAAAATCTGAAGGAGGTGAAGAGGTAGGTTTGTGAGTGGTCTTCAGGCAAGATGTGTTGGAACCAACTTTGTGTAAGCAAAAGAAACAGGTGGAGTGACCAGTTTGTCAGCAGGGGTCTGATAGAGATGGGAGTGAACCCCAGCATGAAGAAGTGTCTGAAGGAGCAGAAGAGGATGAGACTCTGCTGTTAAAAGCTAGAGAAAAGGATGCTGCAGCAGCTAAGCCATGGGCCTGAGTGTCAGCTCAGTGAATGAGTAAGGAAGTAAATTTTGAGAAATAATGAGACACAGGGATTTTCTGATGTCTGGACAATACACCTTTTTTGGAAAAAAATAAATGTGATGTGTAGGAAGTACAGTTCACTGAAAAGGAATTTATTTCAGGCCATATACAGGGAAAAGCTGTGGCCTCTGATTTCAGGCCAAAAGCAGAAACTCAGGCAGCTTTGGAAAAAGGAACAGAAACACTAAAAGCAGGAAAACCTTTAGATGCTGCACTTCGAGTACGTGCGCTCCTCCCGCAGCAGCCACGGGAGGGCAGCCCAGGCTTGCTGTTGGCTCTGCTCTGGTACTAAACAGTAAATTTAGCTGTGCTGCTAGCACGGTTAAAGCGAATCCTACAGAGCAGGTCAGGTCTCCTTTCCTCTGTTTGTCTCTTTAAAATACCAAACGTGGTGTTACGGCTGTGAGTGTGGCAGGGAACAAGGAAGTAAAATTCTCTGCACCCTTACTCAGCCCATCATTAGGATTTCTCTGGTTTTAAAGCAATTCTTTCAAAAAATGAGGTATTGGTGACCAAGTGCTGCTTTGTGATGAGAAGAACCACTCAAAAATACGATCATTACCAGCTTTGGAAATGTTATGGAGGAAAACTTGATTTCTACTTGTACTTCTTCCCTAAAATTCCTCTCATCTCCTTGTTCTGTGTCATGCAGTGTCCCAGCAAAACCTACGACCCGCTCATAAAGTCCACCAGGGACTTCCCTGACGAGGTGATCAGCTTCATCCGGCGGCACCCGCTGATGCACAAGGCCGTGTACCCGGTGACAGGCGCGCCCGTGTTCACGCGCATCAACGTGGACTATCGCCTCACGCAGATCGTGGTGGACCATGTCATGGCAGAGGATGGCCAGTACGATGTCATTTTCCTAGGGACAGGTATGAGAGAGAGCTTCCGGCATCGTTCTGCAAAATCCCGTCCTTTTAGAGTGCCTTTAGTCCAGTAGGTCCTGAATAAACTCTAGATTAACATCTTTTTTCTATGCATACAGCTTCAGGGAGCATGTAGGTGCTCCTGGTTCTGATCCAGCTCTCCTTGCAAATGCTTAAATTAAATTAATTTGTCAGTTCAGGATATTACTGCTGTTGGGATTTAAATGCCTCCTGCTGCCTGGGTGATAAACCATTTAGGGGTCAGAGTACCTGAACTTCCTTACCCTCCAAGTGCTACCTGTCTTTACATTACATGGTAGTCTCACATCCTGCTGAAAGCACATCAATAAAACTATTAAAAGTAAAAGAAATTACCTTGATAGCTTCAAGGAGCATTTCCTATTATCAATAGTGACATGATGCTTCAGCATTTTATCTCATGTGATGCTGAACAGTTAAAGATATCAAATTGAGCCTAAGGCAACAGTTCCACTCAACTAATTTTAAAGATACAAATTAGCAACATGATAGCTCCAAATGTGACAACCAGGATTGAACAGAGAGAGGTTAAGCTGTTCTGTCAGGGAAAAAACTGCTTTGCTGTTTTTCTATGGATAATTATTTATCTATTTACATTTTTATAATAGATAAATGCCTTAAGGAAAAGGCCTAGTTTTCCCATAGTAATTAAATTTAGAATCACTGGATGAGTCACCCTACAGCAAGGTATGCTAAGGGATATGAATATATCTATTCATAACATTTCTGAAGTAATAATCTACCACATTACTCCACTGGGATTTTTTGTTCTTATTTCATAATCCAAAATTGTCTCACTCTCATTCTGTATAGGTATTACAAAGCACTTTCCACTGGTAGATCTGAGTGCTTTAGTAAGGAGGTCATTGCCATTATCCCCCACTCAGAAAAGGTGAAACTGAGGTACACAGAGGTGGCAAGGTTTATCCAAGTGCGTTGGATGAACTACTGCCATGAGCTGCAGGGAAATTAAGATTTCACTTTGAATCCCACCCCACTGCTATTGGATTGCCCAACATTTTATCTGGCTTGTGAGCAAATTTTGTCATATAGCACAATTTGATATGTGTGGGTATTCTGAAGTAACTGGAGGAAAGGAGTGAATTGTCAGAGAGCATCATCTCTTGTAACGTGGGTTGTCTCAGCCTTGAAGAGTTTTCTACTTGTGTTACCCCACACAGGAGTCTGGAGATAGCTTTCAAAACTTTTATGTCTTTCTGCAAAATTGGTTTCACAACCCTTGTCTTCCAAAGCCAGAGAATGTCATGGACCCTCTGTGGTCCCAAGTTAGTACAGTGGTGTCCGAGAAAAAAGCACAGTTTCATTAAAAAAGACCATTAAAGTGCTGTTTGCTCCCCCACTGGCTGAGAAGGCTGGGGATGAGCTTTAGGCATGATGATGATTAAAATCCTTGTTTTTTTCTGAGAGCAATATTAATATAGTCAACAAAGTAAAAGGAACTCCTTCCCAAACTGTGTGATGCCTAGGATTTGGGAATGCTCACTGCAACTTACTTTCCTTGTGATAAGAGTGAGAAGAAATAATTTGAAATTTAGCTGTCTGAGAGGATGAGTTCACTTGTAAAAATGTACGAAATATTCTTTAAGTGGCTGTAGAGACTGCTTTCATGTGTTTGGTGTCCTCCATTTTAAAGTTTTTTGTAGAAATAAAATTATATTGAGAGACCAGCAATTGAATACTCCGAGGTTAACTGTTCCTACCTGGCACTAAGAGAAACACTTCAAGTGTAAGTAGTCAGGTTTAGAGGTGTCAAGACCAGCAAGTACCATGCAGTCACTAGATGGCACTCCACAATATGCAGACATTTATTTTTCTGCAATGCCTTCTTTAAAAGTGAGTTTTCTTTTCTGTAAGTGCATGGTTTTCTTCTGTTTTATCCTCTAAACTCATTGTAAGGAAAGAAATTAACTCAAAGATAAAATTTCAATTATATAGAGAAACTGAATAGGGATATAACAAATAACCCTGGAGATGCTGAGCAGCAGAAGATCAGTAGCTTATTATATGTTTGAATGTACACAGCCAACTTGTACATGTGCAGACTTTGGCAATTATGTCAAACAAACTCTGGGAAAAAACCTCTAATTCATAAGGCAAACTGTAATAATTTTACTTTGATTGGTAATATGAACTTCAGTAGCTTGGGAAAAGAAGAATGAAAATCTCATTCTTTCCCTTATCATGTATTATTTTTCATTATTTCAGTGCTATGCGTAGAGCTTAGGGCTAAGCTGCACTGCATCATTCCCACATCCCAGCACCCAACCCACATCCCCTGAGCAGTTTCTGAGCTCTTTTTAAGGCCATTCAAGGTTCACTAATGTGTAATGCTCTGACATGAAATGAGCAGCTATTTTTTTCACCAAGCAAGAATCCAGGTTAAAATTGATGAATGGATTTAACTTAAAAAAATTCTCTAGATGACTCAAAAGAAGTAATGAATGAATTAAGATTTTGATGATGAATGAAGTTGGGTTCTTAAGAAAAAATCCTTAAATTAAAAAATAAATTTTAAAAGTGCATTGCTTCACTCATTGCATTAAAATGAAGTTTACTTCTGATTAAGGAGCTATACTGGAAACAAATGAATTCTGTAAAAAAGAGGAAATAATTTTCTGCCAATTTAATCCCCTGAGCCAGTTCTCTTTGGGGTCAGGTGGGCCCCAGTTCTGGCTCAGGGAAATGTGCAGAAGCTTGTAGCTGGCAGCATGGACATGCTGGTCTGTGTGTGTTTGTGCAGCAGGAGAGCTGGACCATCCCTGCAGGAGCAGCCTGTGACGGTGCGGGCTCAGCCATACAGTGAAACCATAAATGCACTGTATGGAGAGAGCTCTGCAGGCAGCAGGGGATGCAGTGGGGATAGACATGGTTGGGAAGCAGCATCCCTTGGGGATTAGCTCTATCTACAGGGCAGGAAATGGAGTGGCCCACACCTATTGAAACATTCCTGAGGGTTTTACATGAGGCACATTTGTTTCAGATGTAGGCACAGTCCTGAAGGTTGTGAGTATCACAAAGGAGAAGTGGACCAAGGAGGAGGTGGTCCTGGAAGAGCTGCAGATATTCAAGGTAAGCATTAATAGCCACAACATCAATTAAATATTATTCAGGGGACTTGGTGGCCCAAACTGACGTTGTCTGTCTGGTTGTTTGTTTACTGGAACTTGTTCAAGTTTCCAGAGGGACACTATGTAAATTTTTAAATGCCTTAGTATTCTTTGGGCAAGTCAATTGAAAAATGTCCAAAACCAAACAGACCGTGATTTTTCAAACCCGTAGAAAGTGTCATTTAGCCTGCTTTTTTGTAGTTTGAAATCTTATTATGAGTCCACATTTTTTATTATTTATACATATTAAAATAGTAGTATTCTATTTTTAATGTAACATTTTCTATGGCCCAATTGGCATTGACAGTATTCTAGGTACAATCATAATTTTTAAAAGACAAGCACACAAAATTCCATGGGTGCAGAGAAATCCTTTCAAATACCAACACTGGGAATTGAAAGCATAAGAAAAATAAAAAAGAAGTTAGTTTTGATTATCAGTGTGCCTTTATTTATTGGTGAAGACTGACTCAGTATTTTTGACTATTTTGATTTGGTTATTCTGTAACTGGAACCCTGCTAACACCAATGAACTTCTTCATAAATACAGCTTGTGAAAAGCCCAAGATTCTTTTTGTTGCACAGGAACAATTTCTGACTAACTTTAGTGCTGGTAAAGGAGCTGACATCAACATACTTTTAGATCAGAAAATTGGAAATCTTTGTCTTCCCTACTGATTTTCTTTTTCCATTTATTAGTTTCTTCTTAGTTCTTTGCATTCTCACTTCGCTTTCTTCTCATGCTGCACAGCTCTTCTTCAGTTTTCACTTTGCTTTTCCATCAAAGTTTGTCTGCATCCACAGCATTTTGATTAATTTCCACATATCCTCTCTGCTGTGTGCTGTCCAGCCCAAATTGTTGTCCATACTGAATAAATGAATTGGAAACTTTTCCAAGTGTAAGCACAGGATCATTAACAATTATTTCAAAGAGTTCATTTCTTCATATGCCTTTTGATATGTCATGTGTATGATGCAACTTTGATTTAAAGGATCTCTATGTCTTCTTCCCACTGTCTTGGACACCAATTATAAATATCACTCAGAAAATGCCAAGGTTACTCAGTGGCCTGCCAAATAATGAGCAGTTCCAGTATGTGCACCAATTTGCTGCATTCTTAAAACATAACATCAAGGGAAAATGGGCCATATCATATTTAAAACAAAAAAGAGGTCATTTTTTTCTACTCAGTAGACATTCCTTCACATTTTTATTGGTAATGTTTATGACTGCTACCTCCATGTTTTTGAGTCCAGAAAATTGAAGGGGGTAATGGCTGAAAAAATGTGCTTTATTTCCTCAAACTGCATTAATATGAAACAATGGGCTTAGATTAATCTTCTGTTGGGTGGTGGCTAATACCCTGAGCTTTGTGCTGTTCTTACATCAGTTACAGGCAAAAATTTCACTGTTTCTCATAGCCATGAAATATATCCTAGTGCAGAGATCTGCCTATGTATCCCTTTAATGGCAACTAAGCCTTTCAAATAGTGCTTAATATGAGCTAAAGTTGATGTAAAGGCTCATTGCCCAGGATGGAGTAGATAGCAAACGCTGAGAAGCTAATTGCCTCTTTCCAGCTGGGGAAATTGATGGGAGTTCTTTTGGACAGCATGAATTTCTTGATTTTCTATTGTTTGGAGGTTTTTTTTCATATTTGTTTAAACCATGCAAACGAACCTGTAATTTTATTTGCCTATAGTTGTGCTTATTGTTAAGTTTTGCTCTCTTTTTCACTAAGAGCAGGGAATTTGTAAACTAATACACTTTGCTGTTTTATTTTTCAGCATCCTTCAGTTATCTCGACCATGGAGATTTCTCAGAAACAGGTAATCATAATCTTGTTTAACTACTGGAGGATATGGGGTGCTCTGAACACCTATTTTCAGGTGACACCTGTTGCTTAGTGTCCAAGCTTTCCATGGATGGCTCTTAAAATGTAACTGGAAGGAAGGAGATATGTTTAAAATTGTTTCCCTGCCTAATTCCTACTTGCTTACAAACAGTAATTTGTGTACCCAAGCTGGTAATTATTCAGGGAAACAAATCTTTAGTCATATGGTAGTGGGATTTGTAAGCGAAGCCAATGCACATTCTTTTTCCAGCCTCCAGAAATACTTGTCTCTTTACAATCTAGCAATAAATTATTATTACTATTTTTGTTTTTATTTTTATTAGTAGTCAGGAGAGATCAGGGCCTCACTGTGCTAAAATTTGTATGCACACAACCAGTCCCCCTCCTCTAAAGTTGCAGCCTGAATCTGGGTGGTCCAACCCTGGCAGCGCAGGGGCTGGTCCCAGCACGGTGTCTCCTGATGGGAAAGGATTTTATGGCAGCTCCAAGCTCGGGGATGGCTCCTTGCATGTTCAGGAGGCAGTGTGACACCATATCCACCCTTCCCTGACCCACAGAAGTGGCCAGAGCAGCTCTGGCACAACACGGCTCGCTCACACGGGAGGAGGCATTTTGGCTTTCAGGCACGCACAGCCCAGCTGGGTCCCATCTCCCATGAAAAAAGGTGGCAGGCCAGATGGAAGTGCTGCATGAGCCAGCTCCAGCTTGGACCACCCTTGGCTCCACAGCGACCCACTCACACACTGGGGAGAGGGCAGTAACATTATCCCCGTCCCACCTCAGGATCAGAAGCAGAACATGAGGTTTATTCACACAAGGTCACCCCTAGTTCCCAGATTGTTAACATCATGACTATCCAGCCCTTGCTATAAATGTGTTATTAAGCCATTCTTTCCGTGGTTTGGTTCTGATCTTTTACTGCAGCACACATCTAAAGGTGTGAGGGTGTTGAGTGCTGGTGTCTTTCCAGGACTGCAGTCCCCTTTCCTCTCTGCTGGGATGGATGGGCACTGGCCAATTCACACTGAGCCCTGAGAAACATTTCACACTAAAGGAGGAATTTTTTCCCTTGTTTTACAAAATCTGGGATAAGGTTAAAAGTCTGTAACTGTGGCACTGAAAAGGGAACTTTTTACACTGGCTACTTGGAGAACACTTCTAATTAATTCGCTTTGCCTGATTTGCAGCAACAATTGTACATTGGTTCCAGGGATGGATTGGTTCAGCTCTCTCTGCACAGATGTCACACGTATGGGAAGGCTTGTGCAGACTGCTGCCTTGCCAGAGACCCATACTGTGCCTGGGATGGAAACTCTTGTTCCAGATATGCCCCCACTTCTAAAAGGTAAGAAAAAACCACGATGTGCTGTAAAAGATCTTGCTGCTTGCAAGAATTTTAGATGTTCCAATTCATAACTTGTTGCCTTTTTACTTAGCATATCATTTGCCTTAAAATGTGATCATACTCTGGCCATGTTTCACATTTCTGCTCGAAGAGCTGTGAAGACAACATAGCTTTGTTTAAGTGTGTGTGACAGTAACTTGGCTATGGCAGCTAAGATCATAAATCCATCACTTTCCTTTTTTATGCTGAATGCTTTAAGTCACAAGATGCTCAGATGGAGGTCCAGGTTGTGGCTAACTCTGCCCAAGAGGCAAGAGCCTCTCTTAAGCTTCTGACTTTTTCAGAGTAGTTAGAAAGCAGAGTTTAACATAGCATCCCAGAGTGGTCAATAATAAAATATATTTAATTCCCTGACCTAACCCAACAATTGTATTTGTGGTCTAGCCATGAGAGGGAGACAGAGATTTAAGTACCATGATTTAACCACATTGGCAGCAGTCTTTCCACAGTGAAAGAAGCTTCATCTGAATTTTCTGTACCCATCAGCTAGGACAACACCTTGGATCTGGATGGAGGGAGAGCACACTGCAGGGTCTAGCAGTGCCTAAGCTGCTGGATGTGTCTCCTGAAGTTTTTGGCTGATTTAGCTGGAACCAGAGTTCTTCACAGCCTCTTTATTCTGCTTTGGACAAGGTCCTCCTGACAGTAATTCTTGCAGTGGGGTTGCAGTTATAGCTCAGGCTCTGGAATGACATTTTCTACCTTAGGGGTCACAGGGCTGGGTCCTGAGCCATTGAAGTTAATGACTCATAAGTTATCATGTCATGGTGTCAAGAAACTTTATGTGTTCTCCCTCATAGCCAAAGCAAACTAAATTCAGAGAAGCATAAAAGCAAGGAGAAAAGCAAGTGTTCAGGCTCACTGCAAAGTTAGTGACACATGAGGCTTGCTGAAGTCTGGGGTGGGCTGGGACACAGAGATGGATGGTCCATGCTTTTTAACAGATGTGCAGCTTGGAGGGAAGGCCAAAAGTCTGTGTCTCCAAAACAAAGGATGGGTGACTGGCCCTGGGAATCCTGCAGCAGATCAGTTACTTGAATGTTTTCCTTCTGCGCTGAAGGCTGTGCTTCCAGCATGTCTGCAGCTTTTGCTCAGTGAACACATCAGCCTTAGCAACCTGCTCTCCTTCCGAGGCCGTGCTCTGCACATGGGAGGTCCCACTGCTGCTGCTTGTGAGGAGAGAACCAGTTCTTTCCTGGGTCTCCAGTTCTTCTACTGAAAAATTGAAAAAGTTTCCATTCTTTTCCTTAGCTCTTGTGGAATAAATGCAGTCATACACAGAGGAAGATTTTACTCTTTTTTTAGTGCTATTACACTGAAATGACAATAAATCACGGTGAGTTCATGTAACACACCCAGAGACTGGTGGACAAGTTAGTAGATGGTCTCAGGCCATGGTCTTATGTTTTTTCTGTCCATTTAGATGAAAGACAACAAGATTTGTCAATTGTTTTTTAATAAACTAAAACACATGCTCTTCTCTCTTCATTTTAATAATTGGTTTATCAGTCAGTATTATCTTGGGCTAATACTGAGCTTAATTTTGAATAACACCTGTTGAATTTCAGATCTTTTTCATGATCTACAATGTGAAATATTTTTGCTATTTGCAACACAGTCTACCCCACCATTAGACCTGTGCTCCTAAAGCAAGTTTAGACACTTTCTGTCACTGCTTTACACACTCTTTATTTTAGGCAGATATTTTTCTCTTGCTTTTTCTCTTTTCCCTCCCAGTGGTTTTCCCAAATCACAGGCTCTTCTCTTGATGTCAGTTATACAAATCTCTCTAGGCCACATGCTGCTTTGAGGGTGAGACTGGTTTTAGTTAAGACTGTAATTGTCAGCAGTAGGATGGGAGCGATGCAAGTCCACATCTGCTGAGCTCCTCTGTATTTTGTTGTTGCATTCCAGCAATTATGTCTGAAGTGTTACAAGTTTGCATGCTCTTCCCATAGGCGAGCCAGAAGGCAGGATGTCAAGTATGGAGACCCAGTTGCACAGTGCTGGGATGTGGAAGACAGTGAGTATTTTTCACCTTTCTTGCTCTTTTGTTGCTTAGGCAGCAGATTTTGCTGTGACTGTCCCTGTCTCCAAAAACTAGCTAAGCTCAACAGAACAGTTGCCTTTGCCACACTTCATATCCATTAGCCCTCACACAGTTAAATTTTCAGAGGTGGAGCTGGTAAGGGACAGCCAGCATGGGATGTCACCCTTGCATCTCTTATGGGCGACCCTTCACACCAGGCAGGGAGATGTGCCCCTCATGCCAAAACATCACACATGTCCCTGAAGGTCACTAATGGGGTGTGCATGATGTTCCATCCAGAAACAGGGCAGCAAATCCCACAAGGAAGCTTGCAGGGTTGGGTGAGGAACATGCCATCTCCCCTCTGCTGCTTGACACTGGCCCAAAGACTGAGCTGCAGCTGCCAAACCAGCCCCTTCCCCTTCCCACAGCTGCTTAAATACTCCTGTTATTAACAAGAACCCCCTTCCCCCTGCCTGCTTCCCCCTCCCTTTCCCACACCCTCTTTTCAGATGCCAAAGGGTCTGGCTGCTCCTCTGGCATCTGCAGCCCTTCTCTCTCAGCAAGCGCTGTCAGTGTGAAACCCTGCGGTTACACAGCAATCCCTGTGGCAGCACAAAATAAATGAATAGCATTCAAACCCAAGCTTGGCTTTGTCTGGGGTTCTTCTAGCTGCTTATTAAAGTGAACAATCCAGACAAAACAGTATTGATTGTATCACCACGTTGAACATTGGCTTTGGGACAAGCCACCCCTTCCCATTGATCTCCGCTTATCCCGTGCTGCTGCGGTGCTGGGTCCCTGCTGCAGACCTCAGTGGGAGGCAGTGCAGAAATCAGAGCTGCTTGCCATGGGATCAAAGTCTCAAGTCTGTTGCACAGTCTAGAGGGCTCTGACTGTACATGTGTGCTTGCAGACATAGTTAAAAAGTCAGGGTAGGATCTCATTTCCATCAAAGTCAGCGACAAAACTCCTGTTCATCCCAAGGGCCAGAATTTCCCTGCTAGCTGCTTGCCACGACTCTCCAAACACTGATATCTGAGACTGTGCAAAGCTCAAGGTTATAGAAACCCTAGCAGAAAGGCTGACACTGTCACATTTTCCTGGAAGGATAAAGAGATACTTGAAGAGTTAGCTTTATTAGACAAATCTACAGTCTTGTAGCACAGAAATTGGTATTAATTCTTTGCCTTGACATGGTGCCACCAAATAGCAATTTTATCCACCTGGGAGTGACTTCTATGTGCCACAAACCCATGAAGCTGACCTTTGTCCCTCCAGGCTCTTGGCCTATTTAGGCCATTTGTGATAATCAGTAATATTATGGTCCCCAAACTTTCTTAAATCCACTGCTCCACTGTGTGAGATTCTCTCCCAGAGACTTTGTTGGCTGAATGAAGTTTTTTGGCTCTACCTAAATCTTAGTGGCACGGGGAAATGATGCAGAGAGCTTGAATTTCTATAGATCTCATACAGGTAGTTGTTATATTGAAAGCATGATCCAAAATTGTTTTAATTCTGATGTGGAGCTAACTTTTGATTCAGGAGATGCCACTATTTTCACCTTCCTTTCTGTTATTCACAGGGCATAAGAAACAGCTTTAGTCTCTTGCTAAGGTAGATAAGACAGAGATAAGACAGACTAGAAGAAAAAATGAAGATGCAGTGATTAGAAATTATTTGCTCAGATTTACAGAAGACCAAGAAAGGACTTCAGATTTCCTCATGGCTCCTTCAGTGTCTGTTCTGAAACTACAGAGCATTTCAAAATACACTGAAGGGAAGCAACCTTCAGTTTACTCTAGCTCTGTGACTCCTTTGGGTGACCAAATCAGACCATACAATCCAACTTAACAGGTTTAGCTCAGGTTTAGTAGATGCATTACTTAAAGAAAAAATACAGGTCAGCTTTTAAATTCCTCATAGGTGAAAGCCCCAAGTTTAAAATGGAGCAAGCTCATGATACAGATTTTATTGACCTCCTTAAAAACCAGTTGCACTGAAGGAAGGTTAGCAGCTGCCTCTAAATCCTCATAGTTATAGTTTAAGCTAAAAGTTAAGTTTCCTTTTGCATTTTTATAATTCACTCACTCTTATAGCATCTGTTCTGAATCAGGCTGTTTTCCCATTGCTTTAAAAAGCAGGTCAGGGTTAATCTCCTGTACCATGTTTGCTTTCCAGGCATTAGTCATGAAACTGCTGATGAAAAGGTGATTTTTGGCATTGAATTTAATTCCACTTTTCTGGAATGTACTCCTAAGTCCCAGCAAGCCTCTATTAGGTGGTATGTTCAACGCTCTGGAGAAGAACATCGAGAAGAGGTAAGTTATAATCATCAAGGCAGGTTTCCTCCACAGAGAATTCAGCTGAGCACTGAGAGGCAGGAGTTAATGGGGCCAGTCAATGTTTTACTTTTCCCTGCCTCACCTTAGGTATCACATAGCATTCTGCTATCACCATTTGGGGCATGCAGAGGGGAAGAGAGAAGCCATTTGCACTGTATCATAAGCAGATTTTGATATTTATTTTGACTTAACCTGGCCATCCTATTAAAAATTAAAAGAGAGATAATATAGATAAATATAGAGAGATAATAATCTCTATAAATATTTAGAGATAATATAGATAAATGATTAAAAAGTCAAAGTTTTGTTTTGTCCAATAATTAACTCATCTGCCTCTTTAGGTAAAAGTATGTTCAAAACCTTATGTTTCAGTAAAGTCCCAGCTCTATTTAGTGTCTGATTGCTTTCCCTTACCATGTTGAGCAGTGTAGCTAAGAATTGCATGTATGGTTTGCTGCTTCTCTCCATCTCTCCCCAGAGGAGGAATGGTGTGTGGTTAAAAGGCTTTTTATTTGCTTTTTTTCTTGTTAGTGGAGTCTGAGATTTTTGCTTAAATGGCATTTAGAGAATTCAGGTTAAGGATTGCTCCTTGCATCTGGTGTAGAAAGCAGTGAGATTTGTGTTGGCCCTTAATTCCTTTGGGATGGAGCTTTGGGGTCCTCACTGATGGAGAAGCTCTGGGGAAGCCTCCAGGTTGCTGCAAACCCCCTGCACAATTTCCTGATGATTCCTCTCTGAGCTAGTGACAAAGGGGCTCTCCAACATGACTGAAAGGTCAATGTGCTGGGATTGGTTTGGACTGGGTTTGTGAGTGAGCTTCAAACCTCAGGAGTTTCATAGCCTTTCTCTTACACGAGTGATTTTGTGTCTGAGGCCAAGTCCTGCTGTGATGGCAGCCATGGCAACAGGGAGGGAGAAGGGAAATGAACTGCTCTTTCAAAGGATCTGGTCCCAGGTGCTAGATATGCTTTTCTGTTAGATGTTCATCCAAGACAAAAATTAGTTTAAATGACAGGAACTATCAAACATACAACTGGTGTTCCACTCTTGGTGATAATTCGTCCTATGAGACTTCCTGAGTGCAGAGGACGTGCTGGTCCTTTCCAAAGGCTGGGGAATTGCAGGCCAGGGCAGGTGTCTGGGAGGGAATCACCTCTGGCTGAGATGTGACTCATGGTACTCACCCCAAGGTTGCAACCCCAATTATGTCATGGCCCAGAAAGCCAGAGTTAGGGGATACTTCTGATTTTCTACCAGAGGAAACAAAAACCTACAATAATAATGTATATTGACTGTAACACTCCAGTACTTTTAATTTAATCCGCTTCTCTTACACATGTTTTGGATTGACAAAACTTTTTTCCTCTGCTGGGGGAAAAAAGCATAATTAACTTTTGAGCAGGTGCATTAACACCAAAAGAAAGAGATTGCTACTTTGAAATACTACCCGTAACCCCCATTATAGCCTGTATGTGGAAAAAAAAAAAAAGGAAAGCCTTCTGATCAAATGGCCAAGAACACTCAGCCACAGGAGGTTGAAGTGCACACCCACCTAGAAGTGTATTGGCATTTAAAGACCTACAGTCATTGATTTTACTGAAATGGAATTACCTTTACTCTCCTGTACAGGAGATTCAGTGCTCACCTTCCCTAAGGCAGCAGTTTGTAAATGCACTCACATATTTGATCAGGGAAACAAGTAAAGTATTTTCTTAATTATTACTGTGTATTTAAGACTAATTTTAAAGTAAATTTAAGCAGATAGTTAACAGGTTTCTGACTTGGGGGGCAGGGGAGAGGGGGTGTTTCTTCTTGTTGTTTTTCTTTGCTTTTGTGTGGTTTTCTTTCTTTTTTTTATGAATGAGAAGTCAAGTTTTGAGAAGACTCAATCTTTTTAAAAAGAATGTATTGCAACTATACCATGAGCTATAAACTTTGCATAAAGGAGCCAGTTCCCTGTGAAGAATGTTGTATTTCTATATCATAAGAGATTACACTTTCAAGACTTAAAAGCCTCTTTTGAAGAGCTGCTTTTGAGTCTTTATCTGTGTCAATTTAAGGAAAAAGATATTATCAGTTGATTTGCTCATAAATCACAGGTTCAGCTAGGCCTCTGAAGGTCATGGAACCAAGCTCAAGCTGTCTTTCTTGTTTGATCATAGAACAAACTGCAGGTGAAACCAACTTTTGAGCAAATTTACAGCAGGCTAACATGTATAGCATAGCCTAAATATAGGCTATACTCTTTCTTGATACACATTGTATTTCCAGGAGGTTTGTTGTGGCACTGGCCTGGCCCCTCCTGTTCTGATCCAAGTGCCCCTTACCCAGGCCTGGTGATGTCCAAATACTGCAGGACTGCCCAGCATGCCGAGGATGTGCACGTTGGGAGGGATTTAGGGAATGTGTGCACATGTGTGGTGGCATTAGAAGCCCCAGCAAGCACACAGAATTCATCTTTGCACATTAACAGCAATGTTTACTGGGCTGGCTCTGTGTAAACAGTCTGACATCTGTTTGCATGAGAAAAGTAAATCTTTCCTAAAAAGCTGGATTAACCTCTGAGGCAAATTTAGTAGAAAATTTGAAGGAGAAATGTGCACAGATTTTCTACAATATGAATGTTAAAAGTAGGCAAAGAGCTTTTTGTCACATGTTGTGCCTTAATCCACAGCAGTGCCTCTGTGATCTAGTTTTGGTAAAAATCAGCTCTTGGGATGGTTTTGGGTTTTTTTGGTTGGGGTTTTGGGGGTTTTTTTGGTTGTTTGGTTTTTTCAGTCTGAAGATAATAGCCCATAGGAATGCATATGCACACATTGATGGTTAGAGGATAAGGTCACTTAAAGACAGTGTATAGATATTAGTTCTGCTTGAAGCTTGCCAGAAAATTCTAATAATAACAATTTATAGTATTTTGACCCAGCTTAGTTTCAGGATCCTAAGAAATTGAATTCCTGAAAAAACTCTGTTTGCTTATATTATATTGGTAGGCATAATTTCTAGAAGAAACAAAAAAAAAGAAACTTTTTGTTGACTTTTTTAGATAACTATATTAATATAGAAATTACATGTTTTCAAATGCAGAAACTTAAATTCCTAAGTAATTTATGGATCCCTAAATGATTGACCAGATCTGTAGAGATGCTGAACAATCATTCCTTCTATTTGATGGAATAAGGGTGAAATGGTTAAAATGTTAATCCCTTAATAATTTGCAGATCCAGTAATTGAGGTTTCCAGGTTTTCTAACTTGACTTTCCAGTGAAAATGAGTTCCTCAGTATAAAAACCTGATTGCACACCTTCCTAGAAAATCCGAAGAGCAGAGTAATTGACTTTCTTTTCAAAGTACTTCAGTTTGACAAAAATACCATATGTGACAGAAACACTGAGGTCATACTTAATGTATAGCTTGATCTTTGCTCAACCAATGCATTACCATAACTTTTCCCATTACAATTATATTTTCTGCTCTCTCTGTCTCCCTTCCTGCAGCAGATTTCTCAAATAACACTGTGCATTCTTTTGGTGCATGTCTCAGCAGTGTAACTTATTGTGATGACGATACCATGCTTTGCAAATGACTCCACGCACCTGGAACTTAGGTTACGGACTTTTAGTTCCAGGGCTGGAGCTGTAATGTCTCAGCAAGTCTTTAAACTTGGCTTTACAAAGAGATGGCTTTGCACTGTCCCGGACATGCACTGCAGCTTCCTGAGGGAAGGGAAAGGGCAAAATCCAGACTAGATGGGAAGCATTTGGCCCAGCAGGATGTCCCCGACATTTCACCCTTGAGGTCATGGTTCAGAATGTGACTTCCAGGCAGAGCAACCTGCAGGGAGGGACAGGATCTCCTGTGGCACAGAAGCTGTCACCAGGTCATTTTGCTGCCAGTGGGAGTACATTTCCCTGTAGTTTAGGGCTGTTTTAAGGTCAGGAGTCAAATATCTAGTGCTTTTGTGGTTAGCGTTGCTCACGCAATTGATCATGTTTGTTCCTGTGCGTGCAGCGTTACTCACTAGGATGACAGGGAGTGTTTCAGTGCCTGGAGTTCATAAAAAACTCTGGGGACGTCATCTGTTCGTAGTGTCTTGAACTGCTGGAGCTCTCTGAAGCTTTAAACAGATACTAATTATTTCTCAGAAAAGCTCCTGTGTTATTTTATGTATATAATAAGCATCAGGACTGCAAAAAGAAAATGTGTGGCTCCCTACAAAGGCATTAGTTCTGGTGCCTCGTTGCTCTGAAAAGCTTCAGCCCCTCTGCTTTAGGCTGCACTTCACCCTCAGTCCCCTGTGGCGCCTGATCTGCCAAGCTGCCACCTCAGCAGCAGGGGACAGAACAAACCATATGGTCTAAAGGGACAAAATAGGTGCAGATCACTTTAACTTTCTTCTTTCTGCTCTGCTTAGACCTGGTGGTGAAAATAAATCCACCAAAATGCCTGGGGACGTTCCAGGTTCTCCTTCAGCAATTCTCATCCTTTCCACATCCCTGCCCCACAGCTCAGACTGTGTTTTCCTGATGGACCAAACTTAAGGACCAGCTGCTATTTTTTTGGTAGATACAAGAGCTGGACCCACTTTTGTGCAGGACATTGCAAGGCACAACGTTGTGACCTAGCTCCCCCATCAGAGCAGGGAGGTGTTGTTTCATTCCACATTTTAGGCATTTTTTTCAATTTATTCAAGAGATAAGTTCCAGTATCTTTTTGCATCTGGAGGTTTTTGCATCATTATGGCAACTTTGTTACAAACATCTAGCAGAATCATAAGAAAAAAAGCCACAGATTCAGTGCCAGCCCTGAAATCCAAAAGTTGGGTGATGGCCGAGTCAGGCACAGGACACACAGCAAGGACTGAATTTCCAGTAGTACCTTCTGTCAGGGGAGTGTAATTCAGTGTTGGAATCTTTAGGTGAATGAAAAGAAGGTCAAGAGAGTTGGGAAAAAGAAAAATAAAAATATATATATTCTGCAGCCTAAGGACTACTTATCGTTCTCAAGCTTTCATACTTTTATTTTACTATATAACTCACTGCCTTTTTTTTCTTCTAATACCTTGAGTGTCTTAAGTAAGACTAATATTTTTGACAGTTTCATTGGGAAAGAAGAGAAGAAGTAACTTTGTACTGAGTGACATTTCTGATTTGATTTGGATATATTGGAGAAGTAATAGGATTGGAGGATTTTAAAGTTTAGTCTCAGAGTAAGAAGTAAACTTCACCTTGAAACTAATAGGAATCATGCGTGTCCATAATGCCATTTTACCAGCAACACATTCTTCATTTTTCCTGAGGCTGTTGGATTAATTAAAAGAAAGATGTTTTAAAAAAAATTAACTTTACAGCTGTGTTGTAGCTAAATTATTATTTTCCCATACAAGAGAAACAGTAATGTGTAACAATAATGTCAGAAAAACCCTAGAGTGATCTTTATTTCCAGTCAAACGATGAGGATGAAGAAAACAATAGAAAAACAAAGATGAATGTGAATTCTCTGCAAATGTTCCTCATTTTCTTTTCTCCCTCTCTCAATTTGTTCAGGGGTTGCAGCTAACCCATGATTAGTCCAGCTTTACCTCTAACATTTTTTCACATGTTGATTAATGAGGAAAGGCAGGCTTTGAAGCCACTTTCTTCTCCCAGACAGGTGCAGTGTTTTAACTGTGAAAGAGCTGACATGTGAATTATTTGTAAAGAGGGAGCTATCTAAACACATCATTAGCAAAGGACAAAAAGCATTGACCTAACCTGGTGCCACAGCACTTTCAAATCCTTGGTTGTTTTCCAACTTACTGATTGTTTAAAGATTTGCCATCATTATTGGCAGTATTTTTTTTTTCTTCATTGCTGAATTCAGATTGTGAAAATCAAGTGTTAGGTTTGCATGGAGTTCTTTTCCCTTTATCATGCATTGCTAGAATCTATGGCATGTGCCATAATTCAGTTAATGTAAATTTTGGAAAACTTATGTGCTAATCATGAAAGATGAAAGTACAATTTGTTGATACAATCTCATAAAAATTCTGCTTCCACTTCACTAAGAAAAGAAAGCAATTGGTAATCAATTGCTTCATTTTTAATGACTTTTAATGGAACAAAGCTGTCTTTCATGTTAAAGTTTTATTGTATGCTCAAATTTAAGGACATGTCAGCAAGCTTTTATGAATTTAAGCCTGCGTACTTTTGAATTGCTAAATCCTATTTAGAAATATTTTGGAAGAGTTACTGATTTTGACATGGTGGGGGGTAAAACAGTGAATTCACAGTTGAACGAAGCAAAATTTCTTTTATCTAAGTAATCTTTTCACTTTCCTCAGAATTTAATAAAATATATTTTACATCTATAGGTCAGGAACCAAAGACCACATTAAACATTCAAGTGAAAGGTTAAAGATCTACTACCAAGTAATGAAATGCCAGGTGTTTATGAAACTCCAGAGCCCTGTGGGGAGGAAAGCAGAGAGGAAAGACAGGAGGAGTTCTGAACCTATGGGTAAAACAACATAAACAGGATACCAAAAAGAGAAGTGAGGGAGGAAGGCAGTAATGAAGTGTTGCTCAATATGTGTGAAATCAGAGCCATAATTTTATCCTGCCAGAGGATAAGAAAGGAATGAACAATGAAGGCACAGAGGAGGAGGTGACAGTCACCCTAAATCAGTGTCCAAGGTTAAAACAGGACACTGTGTAGGAGCACTGCTTCATTAAAAATAGGAGTCATGATGGGCTGGGATTAAGGGACATAACCAGTTTAGACTTTTACCTTTCTCTGCAGTATCCCAAGGCAGAGGAGGGGACAGCTCCATCAGTTAACACATTTATGACTAAAAAATGATGGCTGTTTCTCAAATGGCAAATAGTTATGAGTAGCAGGGTGCTGGACTTGGGGGTCCAGTGATCTTTTCAATTCTAGATCTGCCCTTATTCTGCCTTTCTTTCACTGAAAAGAGGCAAAGCCCTGGAGAGGGCACTTTGGAGTGGCACCCAGCCAGCCCAAACAGCCAGCTGGAGCCCTTCCAAGGGTGGGAGGTGCACAGCTGTCAAGAGGCTCTAGACTACAATACTGGCAGAGCCACCGGCAGGCAGATGCTAGTGCTGAGATTGCATCAAGCCCCGAGCTCAAAGACATCAGTCCTGTTTTCACTCAGGCAATGTGGGAACTGGGTCTTTGCACAGTGCCTTATGAAACCCAAATGTCTGGAAGTTAGCTGCTTCTTCCCAGGCTTCTCCCTCAGTTCAACAAACTTGGATCTTCATGTTGACATGAAGCCTGGGCAGAAAAAAGGGATTTCCTTGTTGTCTTGGGAAAGCCAAGCCTCCAAGCACTTCCACCTGGCCCCTGCTCCTGCTGCTCTCTGTGGAGCACAGCACCTCAAGGAAACACCTGTCCTAGACGTATTTCTGCCTACAGCTCCTTATTTGTGGATTCTTTTGTAAATTTTATGCTCCTGTTTTTACTGTAAAAAAGGAGCATTTACTTGGAGTGAAGTGTCACTAGCTGATCCAGTTGAGGACTAGTGCCCTGTACCATGGGTTCTGCAAAAGAAGAGCAGCCTGTTCTAGTTTGTCTCCCTGTTATCTTCTGTGCATGTGGCTTGCCATAATTTATCTGGTTTAAACTCAGTGTGGTAAATCAGAAGTAGCTTGTGCTCATGTAGCACCTGTTGTCAGGGCAATCGATTTTCCAGGAATTTCCTGAAATTTGTATCATTTTACCCTCTGGGTACTGAGTAGACATGCTTCTATACAGTTTACAAATAGTGAAACTAAAGCTCCCAACACCAACAACTGGGGGCAGGAGCCAAAAAATACTTGGCCAGAGAAGCAGGCAACCAAAATCTGACTGCTTTTGTAGCAGCTTATTTCTTGTGTCTGCTGCTCTCCTGTCTGTGGCAGTACACAGACCTGTATCCATCCATCCATATGACTTTCCTACATACCTGTCTTATGCATATGTTACTGAAGACTGTTACAGCTGAAGTAGTAGGAAACAAAAAGCTCTGTCTCTGGTTGTATTATATTTATGTGTATTGCTTTTTCTGGTGATCTCAACATGGTCTCTAAAACTTTTTTTAATGATTTCAAAGTAATTGTCATAGGAACTTAGAAAAGGGTAAAGCTAAAAGCCCTGTAAGGTCATCTCATCCATCTCTTTGCTCCAAGAGACTTTATTATGATAAAGTACTAGTGAGTTAGAATCATAACAGATGGAGAATCATATGTATGTATAAATTTTTTCCCATGGAGTAGCAGAGGGAATCGTGTGCAGATTTTTTACATAAAGAAACAGTGTGTAGCTTACCCACTGTGAATAAATCTAATTTAGTCATCTTTATGCCTCCCTGATCTTCACCCTCTGAAGTTTGCTGGAGGGTCAGATGTGCACTCTGGGAAAATGTGCAGATTCTGTGTTGGTTCTTTCCACCCCCAGCCCCCCTTTTTCAAACCCACTGCCCAACTTGAGCTGAATTTTCCCCGTTGGCAGTGATGCCAGCAGCAGAGCTGAGGCTGCCTCCAGCAGCAGTCCAGGTCTGTGGGTGCCAGCTGTGCTGCAGCCTCTGTGTGGCAGCAGAACACAGCACGCCTGCGAGGGAACAGCCTGGGACAAACCAGCATCGTTTTCAAAGGAAATGCTGGTGCTGGATGTCAGGAGTTAGAGCTCTGCTTTCTACTTCCACCTCTGCCACTAATCTTTATATGGTCTTTGGCAAATCACTTACCTTCCGTGTTTCCCAGATGCAAAAATACTTAGGTGCCCAGTGCCCCATCCTGGTTTTTGGTTTAGTTTTGGTCCGGGCTTTTTTTTGTTCTTTTTTGGCTTTTTTTGAGGGGGGAGCTATTTTTTGATTTAGGTTGGTTTAGAAATAATCTTCAAATTACCAGATACATAACTTACCTGACAGTTTTACTAGTCTAAGGTACACCTTACTTTTAACATGTGAGACCTTGTATTTTTAAATATTTCTATTCGTAAATGACATTATACCTCTGTGCTGTCAGACATTAGCTCCCACTTGCAATCTTATTCTTTTGTTTGGCGTCTTGGTTTCTTTAATTTCTTATTTTTCTCTAAGTTATTCTCCACAGATCTTAGCAATAAAAGTACTTTGTTGTATCCATCCAGCCTTATTGCCTGCTTTTAATCACATCTCAGTGATTCAAAGCCAGGATCAATTTCCTTTTGTAAAACTTGGTTGAAGAAGATCAGAAACACAACATTTCACTGTAAAGATCAGTAGTAGTATTCATATTCATCGTAACAGGGCCTTGGCACTGCTAGCACTCTGGTATTTTGGGTGTATTACAGTTACCTCAGAAAGAACAGTTAAATGATGGGATTTGTGGCAGTCAGTAGCTCCCCTTCCTTGGAGAATGCAGCCTCACTGAGTGCACTGTGCTGTGATGAGTGTTGCTGTCTGTCCTGTCAGCTGTACAGCATGTGTCTTTTGCTACTGCATGCTGAGTGTCCGTGATCCAGATGTTGCAGTTAGGAGCAGCACTCAGGCCTTGAGGGAACTGCTGGTTTCTGTCCCAGCTGCACCATGGGGATGGGACACTCCATGTGCCAGCCAGGCCGTGCCTCCACCTCATGGCATAGCATTGACACCCATCTCATTTTGACAGTGAGACTCACCTCCTGTGCTCTTTTCTTGTCCACCCCCACAGCTGAAGGCTGATGAAAGGATCATTAAAACAGAGCATGGGCTGCTGATCCGCAGCTTGCAGAGGAGGGACGCGGGAGCCTATTTCTGCAAAGCCCAGGAGCACACCTTCGTGCACACCATCGTGAAGCTGAACTTGAACGTCATCGAGAATGGACAGATGGAGAGCACCCAGAAGACTGAGGACGAGGAGGGCCGGGTGAGGGATCTGCTGACGGAGTCCCGGCTGAGGTACAAGGACTACATCCAGCTGGTCAGCAGCCCCAGCTTTAGCCTGGATGAGTACTGTGAACAGATGTGGCACCGCGAGAAGCGGCGGCAGCGGAACAAAGGTGGTGCCAAGTGGAAGCATGTGCAGGAGATGAAAAAAAAGCGAAACCGAAGGCACCACGAGCCAGCCAGGCCACCCTCGACGTAGTTTGTAAATGCTATTTAAAGAAAGGACATTTTCCATAAGATAAAAGAAATACTGTGTTCTGATTTTGTGCATCTTGCCTATGAGTTAGTACTGCTTCTTCTTGAAATCGGAAAATTTACCATCACTGTTAATCTGTGTGAGAATGTACAGTGGGATTCAATGCCAAATGAGATATTCCTTAGTGGAGTGCTGCAAACCAGGCAATCATTTCAAATGCATTCATTAAAAAAGAAAACGTGTACACTTTTAGCTAATTTCTGGGTAGCCTTAGACTGCGTGAGCTGTGTTCTTTACTTCCTTTGTAATTTTCACATAGGGTTTAGTGTTTGTGTTCCCATATTAACATTTGCTGCCACATTCCACCCCAGAGGTGGCTGCATTTCAGGGGAAGGCAGATGTACTTCCAGTTCTTTGGCATCTTTCTGAATAAGAAGCATGGTAGAAATGTGTGACAGATCTGCAAAAATACCCCTAATTTACCCACTGGGCCTGTATACAGGCACACGGGTGGGGTTTGCTAGCACAGAGAGGCACAGCAAAAAATCAAATTAAGTTTTGGCTTAGGGACAGCATTCATTCTGCCCATAAAAAAGAGAAAGCATAATCAGAGTTTAAGAGAGGGGAATTATCGAGTGTTACTCGTTAGTGTTTGAGTAGCCACCAGTTTGCAGTCCATCTGCTGAAATGAAATGCTGACTCTAATTGAAATTGCCACCGAGATGCTTGGGAGCAAATTTCCTAAGTGATCCATGGGAGGTATGTGCACAAATCCTATTAACAAATAATGGGACTCCTGCCTGCACCTCTTCTATGCCTCTAAAGGTTTGACTTTGACTGTTTCTCTGGCCCTTTGCTGGCTTTGTTTTACGCAGAGGAAAAGAAAATTAAAAGACAACAACAAGGCTAAAATGAAAGACGATGAGGGAAATATGTAGTGGCTGAGACCAGTGCTCTTGACACAGAGCTGACATTCCTCAGATGTGTGTATTCTTTGGGATTTTTTCTCAAAGGTCTTATGTATTTTTAAGTTGAAAATTTGCATTGTTGGAATTAATACTTTTATTATAATTAAATAAGAGATGTCCACGTGTAAATAAAACTTGTAAGTTAGAAATTTGCTGTATACCATAATGTCATTTGTAAAGTGTTCCTTGTTCCTTGGTTTATATTTTGGGTTTAATAATGTAAATTTTTTACACATAAGCAAGAAATACTGGCCTCATCTTTGTCTGTTTTACATCAGTATCATTCAATTCATTTTATTCCTGATATGCAGCAACAAACACAAGCTCAAAATCAGGCCTACTGTCTCCTCTGATGGCTGAGTCACAGCCCCCCTCTCCTACGTTCCATCTAACCTTCCTCCGTTTTGCCTTTCACGCCTTTTTGAGTGTGAAATGACAAATTAGCCACTTCCTCACATGGAAGACAGCTTTGATGGATACCAAAATGACAGACTTTACTTGTTTCTCATGCATTCTACAGATCTTGAGAGCAAAGTCTGTGGGAAAGGCGTGCAATTGATGTGCACCTCATTAAGGGACCAAAACTGTTGGCTCTGGAGCCCTCGCCCATGCTGGTGTTTGTGTGCGCATTCAGTCACAGATCTAAAATTGTGAAGGTCCAATTTGCATCGTTGTTCATTTCCTCTCTGTTGAAAGTCGGATATGGCAAAGTGTTTGTCAGATTTCAGAAAGGAATCTCAGCTTACCCACATTTCTTGTAAAACCTGAAAGCTGCGTTTGCATGTGTTGTACAAAAGCCAGCGATACCATATGTCATTAATTTTAGATGCTTTTTTAATAGGAGATGTATGAGTTAATTAGGAGATACTAGATAGCATGCGTACAATGCTTTGATAGTGTAAAGCACTGAGTGCTAAATATTATAAAATCATCTGTGGGGAGGAGGGAATGTCTCAGCGCAGGACCTTTAATCAGCAGAAAGACTGATGCTGAAGATACTAACCAGTCGTACAGTATTTGAGAACATGCAGAGAACTTTTTGGCATTTTTGCTGCAAAATAATGTAGACCAGGCATTTCACAAGAGGCTCATCAATTTGGGTACCTTGATTTTAAGGCCAATTAAGACTACTTAGGGAAGGTATGGGGGGGTATTAAACTACTACATATAAAGCACAGGGATACTTAATATTCTTGGCTGGAAGATTATGCTGTCACCATACAGAACTTGCCTAGTTATTCCTTATTAGATTTTTATCAGTCCACAAAGTCCCATTTCTCTGGCTTGGGCATTAAGGAAATGAGTGGAACCGCACCAAGGCTATGCAATGGCAGGTGGGCTGCATTTGCAGGCACTGGCAAAGGATCCACTCTTCTCTTCAGTGGTGACATGGTACTTCAATTGACAACTCTCATCACATGTTTGCCTACTTCATAAAGAAGCAAAGCAGGCTCTTTTTTCATACTTTTTCTCCTCCATGAAAACTAAATCATCTGATTTATGTTTAGGTATGATTGGAGGTTTGTATTCTACAAATGAAACCCCCCCAACTGACTTTAGTAGAAATATGGGGTAAGGGTCTCAGTACTGGGAACATTAGATTTAAATGGTTGAATTAAAATGTTATTGCTCTTAAAAACTACTTTCATTTCTTTTATTTCAAATGTTCTTGCAATGTGATTCTTCTTAAAGAAATGACCTCATCAGTCTGGGGTACAGTGGTAGCATAAAACCCCAAGTGAGAGATATAAGACCTCTTCCATCATGGGAAATAAATTCAATATCCTCCAAACCAGTGTGTTGCATTGGGTTCATGCCACCAAAGGGAACATATGTAATAATCCCACATAGATAAAAGTCTGTGGTTTGATACACTGGGTAAGATGAATGCTGTAGCTGGCAGGGGTAGCACACCTCATACAGTGCAGGTAATACGCATGCAAGGAATCCACAGGACCTTGGAGACCAAGGAATGAGAGAGATAGATTGAGAATCACTACTGGAAGTAAGGCAGGGCTTTGTTAGGTGGGACTCAGCGGTGCAAGCCCTGGAACAGGAACAGGAGGAGCCGTGGGTCTTTTCCTACAGTCCCAGAGGGAGGTTCAGAAGATGAGCTAGACCAGAAATTGTAACAGAGGAGTAGCCCCCACTTTTCAAAGGGGTTTAATCTTTAGTGTAATTTAGAGGCTCAACTTGAAGCTTGAATTTCAGTTTGATGATTTGGGGGTCAGCTGGGCTGCTGTGAGCTGTACTATGAGCCACAACAGGCCTGTAGTTAAAATGAAACTGAGCCCTGCCTCTTTCAAGAGTGCCATAAAAATTTAAATTGAATGAATTTTTAGTACAGAGTGGAAAAAAAAAAGTTGCCTCCACATTAATAACTGTAACTTTTAAACAGATCCCTTAGTGCATTGTTTCAAATGTCATGAGGTTCAACAAGGCCAAGTGCCAGGCCTTGGCCACAAAAAAAACCCTGCAGTGCTGCAGGCCGAGGTAGAGGAGTTGGATAGTGCCCAATGGAAAAGGACCTGGGAGTGCTGGTTCATTGTGGCTGAACATGAGCCAGCATGTCTCCAGGGGGCCAAGGAGCCCATGGCACCTGGCCTGTGTCAGGAATAGTGTGGCCAGTAGGACAGGGAAGAGATTTCCCCCATTCTCAGCACTGGTGAGGCCGCACCTCGAGTGCTGCGTCCACTTCTGTCCCCCCCCCACCCAGTTTGAAAAGGACAAGGAGATGCTGGTGTGCGTCCAGCAAAGGGCAAAAATGACCCAGAACCTCTTCTGGGGAATGACTGAGGGAGCTGGGAGTGTTTAGTCTTGAGGAGACTCGTGTGGGACCTCATCACTCTCCCCAGCTCCTGAAAGGAGGGAGTAGTGAGGTGTGGGCCAGCCTTTTCTGCTGTGCCTGCCATGAGGGGATGAGAGGAAATGGCCTTAAGCTGAAGCAGGAACGATTCAAATTAGATATTAGAAAAAATGCTTTTGCTGCCTGGGTGGTCAGGCATTGGAATGGGCTTCCCAGAGAGGTGGTGGAGTCACCATCCCTGGAGGTGTTTAAGAGGCACCTGGATCTGGCACTGGGGGATGTGGTTTAGTGGTTCAAGGGTTACAAGGGCAGTGCTGGGCTGACAGCTGGACTAAATGGTCTAAAAGGCCTCTTCCAATTTTATGGTTCTGTGATTCTAATCTTCGCTTCTATACAATATATTTATTTGAATATGCATTCAACAGGGATTACAGTTATTAATACATTATCTTCAACAAAACCTTTCTATTGACCATACTTCAGCAACAGGTCAGGGCTCGACTGAACCAAAGGGGTTTCAAGCAGACTCTTAGAATAACCAATACAATGTGAGCTGTAGTTATAAAAATGCTGAAAACTGATATAAGCCTTAAAGCCCAGCAGGGCTCTAAACTTTGCAGCAATCTTGCAGTCAGTTAAAATAAAACAGAAAATGGGATTAGCAGAAAAAGGACTAAAGTATTAACACTTACTCTGATAAACTGGTTCTGTTACTGGAAACCATTCTAACAACAGGTGTGAATGTGTGTTCATGCCATAAGCAAATGCTTTCCCCTCTAAGCAGTTAAGCTGCTTGAGGTATAAAAGAACCTGAGGACTTTCCAGTTCATATGTAGATTTTGTCCCCAGTTCTTATGTCACTCATAATGAAGTAATTAGGCTAAATGCAACAGATATCCACTTGTTCATGTGCTTTTGAGATCAGAAGATTCCTTCAGTTCAAATGGTATGAACCTCTTATTCAAACCACTATGGGTATTGATCTTCATTTAACATTTCAGATAATGAATAATAATTTGTTATCATTACTCATTGATACTGTAATCAGCCTGCGTCCCATAATAATGTTTCAATATTTAATGCCAGCTAATGGAAATTGAGTTGTCTGACATTTTTTCGTACAAGCTGATGTGCACAGGAGTGCATGTACAAATGTCTTATTTTCTATTTATTTTGTAACAGAGGTTCATTTGCAAAAAGCAAACATGATTTCAAGAGTCAGGGTTCATCTCAGCCTCCACTGACAGCAGAGATTAAAATCTTTCTGGAACTGAACTGAAGCCTAAGTACTCTATAATCTATTTATAGTCTGGTAGTCAAATCTCAAATCTGTGTGTTGCTCCATGGAGTATATTGGCCTGGTTCTTTTTGCACACAGTTATAGATGAGACATGGAGGTCTAAGGAATTACATCTACATGAATGGAAAATTAAGCCCACATGTCTCTATAATATATTCTGTTACATTTTATAAACTTTAAATGGTCTCTCTTGTAACATTTCACCGTAGTGTTGCTAATGTTACCCTGAACTAGGCTGCTGTCACTAGCTGAAGTGTGACATTCTTTGTAGCTGTAATCCAGGTTTCAAGGTTGGTGAAGTAAGTTCATTAGAGCAGAAAAAATGAAGTCATGTGAAAAAAAAAGTTTAATTATTAATTCTACAAAACAGATTTATAATATTTTATTTCCACATAACAAAATAGTGGTTATACTAGAATGTGTGAGAAACACCAGTATTTGTTTTCTGTGCAGGTAAGGATACATAACAAATTGTAATCTTGAGGGTCTCACTTGCCAATGCGTGTCTGAAACAGCTGGTGTGACAGCTGTGGCAAGACTCATTTTTTACTTGCTTGATCTTTTCTTTTCCCAGTAAGCCCATTGTGTCCTGCCTTTCAGACTCTGCTCTAGCAGATAGCCCCACTTTTACATGGAAAGGACTTTGGAATCAGGTATTTTGTGACAAACACCCACCCCTACACAATCATGGTATCACAGTCTGCCTTCAGGTGAGGACTTCCTTTAGCATTAACTCCAGCATTCAGTTGCAGATGCAAACCAGACATAGTGAGGTGAATTGGAGACCAGATGGAGTTTTTGTTCGTAAAGAAAAATTTTGGGACTGGTGCTGAAAGGTCTCCTTTCTCTTTTTTCTCATGTGGTTGCTGTGCAAAATTTAAAATTAAAGTGGTTTGTGCTTAAAAGCATAAGATTTTCCACATGATGTAAAAAAATGAACAAACAAACATTTCCATTTGATTGTTTTTTTTATTTTAATATGGACTGCTGGTCCAGTGTCAATGCATTAGTCCAGATAGTACAAGACAAGAAAATAATGTGTCCAAACAGGTTGCTATGACATCTGTAAGAACCCCAGACACACCTCAGTTTTGGTAGTATTTCACATTCTTGTCCCTTCCCTCTATGGTATAGAAGTGGATTTGCCTGGATTTTTGGAATTTTTTTTTTTGGTGGTGGAGTGGTTTTTGTCAGATTAATTTTTTTAGGAGGGCCTCTTTTGGTGGTCTGGGTTTTTCAGACTTTTTTGGGTTTTTTGGATGGTTGGGTTTTGTTTGCTTTGTTTTGTGTGCATGTGTGTGTTTGGTTTGCTTTTTGTGTTCTACTCTTCTGTCTTTCATGTTATTTCTCCTACTAAAAGGGGCCATGCCCAAGCCCAGATGCTTTCTGGTGGTGTAATATATGACAAAGCAATAAGAGGAACAGAAGGCTTGGCAGGTATTTTGGTATGGAGACAGCACAGACTGCAAGACACAAAATCTTAAAGCTTAAATGACTATGCTGAGAGTTCAGAGACCATAGTGGACTTCTCTGGCCTAAGTTGAAAATTCAGTTAAATTTATAGAAGGTATATTCTTTACTTTATGAATGTTTTTTCTTAAAATATATTTTAAATCTTCACTCTCAAAACTCTCTTTGCAAAAAAAAAAAAAAAGAAAAAAAAAAAAAGAAACCCAAGCCAAACAGACTAAAAAAATCCCCAGAAGTCCAAAGAAATACCAGCATCAGAGGTTTTTCATATCCTCCTTCAGAGACTTCATGTAACTTACTCCCAGGATGCTTTTTGTTGAAATTAATTGTAATAATCACATATTAAGACTGCCTGTGAACATGTCTTGGCTGTAAAAACTGGATGCAGAGCATATGTGTCTATGAAAATATAAATGAAAAAAATGAGAAAAACCCCATGTCTAAATATTTACATTATTTTTTGGTTTTAGTGATGATGCATCTCCATCCCACCTTCCCCAGTGACTGTCTCAGAATGTCACTTGCCTGGGAAGAAAGGAGGCGATTACAAAATCATATTATCTCCAAATTATAAATTCCAAAATGAAAGGTCACATTAAATGGACTGGCTGCAAGGATTGTGATTAATACCTCACTTTTGACCAAGAAAGACTATTTTTTCTCTTAAAGTGAAATTTATTACTCTGCCCAGCACAGGAACTGTATGCCATTTGGCCTCTTTTTTAATTTGTAAGGCATGAGTGGTTCTCAGGTTGATTTTGAGAGTTGGGGTGATTTTCCCTCTATAATACAACTATTTATACAGCAGTAAGACTGAAGTATCTCTTTGTACATGTTGCAGCTCATTGAATTGCTATTATTACAGAAGTTGAGCTTAAATAATCTACATTTTTGCCCGGCCTGCTGGCTTACTACGTATTTCAATTTTATATGCAAAAGTAACTGAAACAAATATATATTTCATTAGTACTATAATAAACAGAAAAATCTGAGGTTGTGCCTCTTTTTTAAACCCATGTAAATCTATAGTATAAAACATAAGATTTCAGAGAAGCAGAGTCCACAGCGTGATATGGAAATAGCAAGGGTGCTCAGGCAAGGTTCAGTAATCTGAAGTGTCTTTTTTAGAAGTCTTTCCTAAGTGAGGGTTGACTGAGATTCACCACTCCAGTGAGAATGTG